GTGGCTTTTGATTTGGAAAAAGAAAATGTATTTGCAAGGCCTGCAGTTCTGCTTCGGAAGTTCTGGCCCACGCTTTCTGCAAGCACCTTCCTCAGTGCACCCCCGTTGCTTTGTGCCTGCGTCTGAATGCAGCAAATTTGCCAGGTGAACAATCTCGGTTCACTGGAGAGTTTCCGCAATTTCTGCCAGAGCCTCATGATGCTACTGCCGCCATGTGAGTGGGGTTGCGTGACAGGCGTCATTTGCCTGCTGCACCTGGTTGGGGCCATAGGCTTTCCAAGGCAAACCTACTGTTCTTTGTGATCGCTATAGCTACCACATGTTCTGCTCATCCTGCCAGGTCCACTTCAGTGAGAGTGACGGAGTCAGAGTTGCAAAATGCTTGCGCCCGTTCGTTCCACAAACTGGCTTGTCGCAGCGCAATCATTCAGCAGAACTTGTATATGATTTACTGCAGCTAAATGAGTGTGAGGCTGGGACAATCAGAGAGGCAAAACCATTTGCCGGAGCATGGGTGTGGCGCTGGTGAGTCGCAAGTTGGACTCCTACCACCAAAAACAAGTGTTTTTCTGCAGCCGTTACAGGTCCCAATTCTCAACAGTCGTTCATGCGAATACGCTTTGCCCGGCGAGTAACATGGATGGCACGGGACGCACGGAAGCTCTTTGAGAGAGGCTGGCATCGGCGCATGAGTTGGAGGTTCCAAATGGTCGGGCTTGTTGCAACATGGTGGTCAATCTCTGCAGCCATCACGCTGGGCATGAAGTACACAGTCGGCAACCACGGAAGCTATAAGTTTCCTTTCGCGCTGACTGCCATGACCAACGGTGTGTGTGGCTCATTGGCCTTCTTGGTCTGCTACTGCCAAAAGGGTAGATTTTGGGCTGCTGCCAACCTACGCAGAATAGATGTCATTCAGCTAGTTGGACTAGGTGTTTTGCAGGGTATGGAGATTGGCATGTCAAACAAAGCGCTGGCATTTCTGTCGGTTTCTGCGCGCACAATCCTGAACTCCATGAGCGTATTCTTCATGATGATATCTGCGCAGCTCTGGGGATTGGAGCGAATGGACCAGCTGCGCGCTTTGAGCGCTGCATTCCAAGTGCTGGGCGGCTTTCTCAATGGTTTTGGTGCAACGCATGCAACAGATCACAACGCCAATAGCACCATGCAGGATGTGCATGGGGTACATGGCGTCCCTGGTGTACATGGCGTACCAGGTGTGCATGGTGTACACCTTGCACCGGTTTCAGCCACAGTGCATCGTCAGATTGTAGGGACCCTGCTGCAACTTGCCACACTGTTGCTGGCATCCCAGCGCTGGGTTATGTTGCAGTTCATCATGCAAAAATCCAACATAGTGTTGGGCAAGCTGGAGCTCTCTGCTTTGATAATGCCCGTCACATCGTTGGTTTGCTTGGCTATGGCTGCAGCTTTTGAGACGCCAGCCTTCAATCTGTCTCTGGTACTCAGCGCTGGCCTTCCTCGCACAATTGTTCTTATTGCGGGGCGCTCAGGCGTTTCATGCGAACGATTGGCCTTGAGTAAGTCTGCCTGTTGTGTAAGGCATGCGGGATCACCGTCCTCACAGTGGCTGAGTTGCGACTGGTTCACATTTCGAGCGCTGTTGCAATGCAGGTGCTGGGAACGCTTCATCAGATTCCACTGGTCATTGCCGGGGTTGTGTTTTTTCACGACGCTGCCGGAGACTCGGAGCATGCATAGGCACAGGCGATGGCAGGGTAGGCAGCCTATCCTGAATGGGGGTTCTGCGTTTAGTTCGAACCTTTGGGGCTGATGTCTTGCCTGTAGGGTTTTGTGTTTTGCCCCTCACGCAGGCTTCTTCTTAAACTTGTTTTTGAGGGTTTCGGATGTGCAGGGCGCAGTGCCGTATGCCTTTTTTTTGTGGACACACTTGTCTGGAATGTTCACGTAGGCTAGCAAGGAAAGCCTTAGTGATGTTTTGAGCGCAATACTGCCAAGAAGTTTTGGCAATCAGGCAGCGTAGCCGCTGCTTTGCCCTGAGATGAAAAAATGTGAACACAGTTTCCTTGCCATGCGGCGATGAAGTCCAACGATGGTTTTCGCACATGCAAGTTCCTGCATCGGCCGCGGTTGCTTTCAAGATGCATGCGTCGCGCGAACTCTGCATTACACTGAACGGTGGTCAATGCCCATTGATTGAGCTGAGTTCGCTTGTTCTTGACCACGCATGCCGGCCAGATGGGGTTTCCAACCACGCGCCTTAGTGTCCAATGCTTATGGCTCAGATATACAGCGTGCTTCGGATGGAATGTGAGGGCGTTGTTGGAGGCAATCAAACCTGCTGGGAGCCACGAACCCAAATGCAATGCCCGCTACCTTTTGGCTCGAAGTATGACGACTCACCCTCACACACACACACACTCACTCACCCACCCACCCAGCCACCAACCCACTCGCTCACTCGCTCGCTCACTCACTCACCCACTCGCTCACCCACCCACCCACCCACCCACCCACCCACCCACCCACCACTCACTCACTCACCCACCACTCACTCACTCACCCACCATTCACCCACCCACCCACCCACTCACCTGCACTCACCCACCCACCCGCACCCACCCACCCGCCCGCACCCACCCACCCGCCCACCCACCCGCCCGCCCACACACCCACCCCCCACCCACCCGCCCGCCCACCCACCGACACTGTTGCGGACGGTTGCGGAAGGTTGCGGACGGTTGCGGACGGTTGAGGACGGTTGCGGATGGTTGCGGACGGTTGCGGACGGTTGCGGACGGTTGCGGACGGTTGCGGACGGTTGCGGACTCTGGAACAACTCGCAAACACGTCCTCCCCCCCCAGACTCCCACAAGCAAACAGGAACCCTGGCGCGTTCGTCCAAACATCGAGGTCATTTAAGGAAGAAATAGACACTTGGAAACGAGGGCCAACGCAAGGCAGATGCATAAGGGCAAGATCCACGAACCAAATGACGAGATAATGCTGAGGGATTACTTACTATCCGATTCGTGGCAACCATTGCTTGTGTCGATCTACGTGGCTCTAAGATTTTGCAACTCCTGGCCTTCCTACTTCACTCGAATGCGAGGACATTTCACATACAATCTCTAAGCTCAGCGCCAGGAAGGTCCTGTAAAGCAGCCACAAAAGCAAGAAAATCAACCAACGGTCTAAGCAATCATTGGAGTATACCTCCGCGGAAGCACTTGAACATTGTGACGAAGGGTCCCGAAGCCAACACCAAGTTTACCAAACGTGTGTGTGTGTGTGTGTGTGCGTGTGCTGGTGTGCACGCCCAATAATACAACAAGGAGTCTTGTCAATGGTGGCTGGTTTCAAAGGTTTTGTTGCCCAACACCTGGATGTTTTTGATGCTTGGTCCACACATCTTTCAGAATTCGTATTGGCGCCTAGCTGGGATGGGCTTGTGTTGGATATAGCATCATGTCATGGTCTAAATGAGCCGTATCTACTCTATAGGGTGTCGGCCTTGCACAGCATGATGCAAACCACATTGCCATGCGCATTTGCGTAACTAGCCGGAGCTGAGTGGTCATCCTAGTGAATAAGACTGACCACCAGCAATGCGCTAAGCCTGCGATGGTATTGACCCGGAATGACATGTGAGTCAACGCGCGAGACCTCATCCGGACAGTAAGCAAGTGCCTTGCTTTATTTACACCCAGGTTGAGCGGGCAAGCGGCATGGGCTTCTCGTGCTGCTTGCTGGGCGCGCTGTGCTATGCCCTCGCTAAGCACAATCCAAGCCCAGCAGATGATGCTTTCAGAGAGCAGCAAGGTGCGCCATTTTATGTAAGCCAATGTGTTCCGCGTCGGATGCCGTTGTAATTGATCGCTTGTCTTCTTTTTGAATTGGGGACTTGAGGCACGGAATTATTGACGCTTCACCGAGACGACGTTGAACAACATAAAGACCACGATGGATAACAAGATAACAAGAAGCCATGGGCTCACTGAGTCTAAATTATCGGCTTGAGAGATTCCAGGGCTTCTTCTGGCTGGCAAAAAGCCGCCCGCAAAGGCAGCCGCCTCAACAGTCAGGAAAGAGGTGGGTTCGTAAATGTCAAATGTTCAATCCGGCACTCATGCAATGCTCCATGCGTCGCTTGCAAGAATGCCATGTGTGTTGTTTTGCTTCACAATGTGGTGGTTATGGCCTCGGGTTTGCGACGTGTGAGCGGTCAGCGGATAACCTTGGCACTGTTCGATTGGTTGTTTGTCGCTGTGTCTTTAATTCTTTGGGAAGCTCTTCTCAAGGACTTGTGGCTCAATGGGCTATGGTTTGACAGAACCTTGTAGGAATGCTTGAGCGACTCTGGGCAAGAGAAGCCCGTGCCATGGCGATCCCGTAGATGCATGAAGGCGCCAATCTTGCTTGCAGAGAGCGGCATTTTTGGGCAGAAATTGTGCTCAGAAGTTCATCATGTTCGACGGTTTCTTTCCCGATCGCTTGGTGCAGCGTTGGTAACAAGTGGGCTGACCGGCATCGCGCTGCTGAGTGCTGGTATTGCCACAGGGGCAGCAGTTGACAGATCCGGCTATGTCATTGGGGGGCTTTTGGCTGTCGTGTGTCTCCTTCTGTTTGTGAATGTGCATGAAGCTTTGGAAGCCACTTCAATCTTGCTTGAGTTGTTGGAGATTGACGATGCCATTCGCAGAGATGATGTCATCAAGCTTTTGGTCAAGTGCATGCACATGGGCAAAGAGGCCATCATACCTGATGATGACTTTGACGATCTTCTTCAGGAGGCCATGGGGCGTCTTCCATCCAAGATGGGGTATCTTCTCAAGAAATCTTTGCTAGCGGGGCCTGCCCTTGCGGCTCTAGCTTTTTTGGTGTGCACGTTGTACATCTTGCTGTGGAGCGACATGCCTAGCTTACTTTCTGCACTTTCAATTGCAGCACTTGTGCTGGCCACGGGTGGGGCTTCATGTGGCTTCGCAATGCAGCAGCGGGTTGCTTCCATGATTCGTGCCATTGAGTTAGAGGAGGTCCAGATTCACACAACGTCTGCAAGCCTTCTATCCTTGCACAAGAACATGCTTCGCCGTAAGTTAGCCTCAACTGCGAAAGGCCCCTGAGCTGAATTTAAGTGGCGATTCTTGGAAGCCCCTTCTGACAGGCAAACAATTGGAAATAAGTGGCCCGACCGATTGTGGGGCATGTCTAGCCTGAGGACTGCAACAACTGCGTGTTCTTTTTGGGGCCGCCTTCAGCTGTCGTAGGGTATTGGGCACGTAAATTGCACCACATCGGTATCGTAATACTTGAAGAATGCTTTGGTTTTTGAAGGTCAAAGCCTTGCCCGCGAGTACTTTCGCACAGCAATACAGAATCCCGGTGGTGGGATATCATTTGCAATTGAGAAGGGTTGGCTTGCTGGACTTGCCGTGGAAGAAATGGAAGGCAATATTATGCTGTACCTGCGCGCATCTGCCAACCTATGCAACCTGTCGCTGCTGGAGACTGTGATCGGTGAGTGCCGGGGTGTGTTGCCAGAAAGCAAGCTGCACGAGGCCATTACAGCCAAAGATCGCATCCAAGAGCTGACTGCCAACTTGAACGCAGCAATCAGTCAGCTGGACATTCAATTGCTGATGGAAGCCATTCAGCAATGTGAGTCTGACGGCTGGCCCAAAGCTTCGTTACGGACAGCCCTCACAGCGAGGGAGCAGATCGAGCAGCTGTTGGCAAAGATTCGGAGCGCCCTTGGGCAAGCCGACTGCCACTTGCTTGACTCGGTCATTGCGGAATGCGAGAAAGCTGGCCTACCAGAAGGAAGCCTCAGGGAGGCTCGGGAGAAGCGGCAAGCTCTGGCGTCTTTGCAGCAGGCACTTCATGCTGCCATGGAAGCCAAGGATTTGGATCAATTGCATGAGGTGATCATGGAATCCAAGGCCTGTGGGATGGAGCAATGTAAGGCATGCCGGCTAGCGGCTAGTGATATCTCATGAAAGAGCTAGTGAGTAATTGTGCAGACCTCACGGCTCTTCAATGCTTTCGTGCGCGCCAGGCTGTGAACCTGCACGATGACACGGTTGCACGTGCAATTGCTATGCGGGATCACTTGCATGATTTGGTCCGGCACGTGTCCAAAACCATGGAAGACGGTGACGTTGACTTGCTGGAGGAGGCCATCAAGCGGTGCCAGCAAGCTGGCCTTCCAGCACGGTACACAGATGCGGCGCGGACAACCTTGGAAACTTTGCAGAAGCTGCTAGCAGCTCTGCAAGCTGCCTTGGTCTCCCGGGATTTGATTAGACTGACAGGTTCAATCTCGGATTGTCAGCAGGCAAAAATCCCATTGCCATACCTCCAGGAGGCCATTGACACCCGGCAACACGTGCAAGGCCTGCGGGATGTGCTGCAAAGAGCTTGCGATGTCCGGGATGTTCAAGCCATCGACAATGCCGTCCAGGACGGAATGATGGGATGTAGCCACACACTTTGATTTAAGTTGATTTGCGGATTTGCGGTGCTTCACGCCAGGCTTGCAAGGCGTATGGCCTGCCTGGCAACAGTTGGGAAGAGGCGAAGCAGAGGGAAAGAGAGAGCGAGAGAGAGAGAGAGAGAGAGCGAGAGAGTGAGCAAATCGAGGTGGAAGCCTTTGCCATGAGCGGTGGCTCGGAACAGCGTTAAGTGCCTCTGTTTGTGTGTGTTTGTGCGTGCGTGCACCCGGCTGGACCACGCACGCTAATTGTCTGAAGCAGGGGGACCATCCCTCTGCTGTGTGCGATGGTCCAACGAAGCGGCCACAGCAAATGCGGATATCGAGACTGATCACCTCGACGCGACGTGCCTGCGAGAACCATTTGTGATGTAAGGTCTTTTGATTCTCTGGTTGAACTCTTGGACTCTTTCGTGTGAAAACGTCCTTTGGTTTGACTTGTCGCATTTGCGTTCGTGTCGCGTTTGATTTGACAGCGAGCGCTCTATAAGAGTGTGTGTGTGTGTGTGTGCGTGTGTGTTTGTGCGCGTGGGTGTGTGTATGTGTGTGTGTGTGCGTGGACCCTCTTTGTTCGTGGAGGCAGGGAGTCACTTGCTTCTGTTGCAGGGAGGAGTGAAGTGGACTATCCAGCTTGGCCAGCTGGAAGTACCTGCCAAGGCCCCGTTTACGTTGCAGAGCGCGTGTTTCCAGCTGCTTCATTGCTTCTTCGTATTTGCGCACCCCTGTACATTGCCGTTTGTAGACATGGGTACACATCTAGCAATATCTGTGCACGCATGTACATGCTTGTGCGCCTGTACGTGCTCGTGCATAGCCGTACCTATTTGTACATACCTGTACATGCACTCGGCCCTTTGGGGCGGGTGTGTGTGGGACCTTCTTAGTACAAAAAGAACGGCAGGGAGTCACTTGCTTCTGTTGTAGGGAGGCACAACACTTCACTGGGATTGCGTCCAATGAAGCTACCAATGAAGCGCTTGGCCAGCTGGACGTACCTGCCAAGGCCCCGTTTACGTTGCAGAATCCGTGTGCACACGATTCCGGCTTGAACCAAGAGCGTCGTGTTTGTGAGGATGCTTCCACAATCAGCTTCTCCGTACGCGTCTAAGAAGTGTGTGTTTGTATGTGCCTACTGGAAAAAACAATCAGACCGAGCAGGCGCCTCCTAACCGAGCATGGGCTGGACGCAGTGTGCTTTTGGTGTGAAGGACCCATGCCGAGAGATGCGGGTGCCACCCTTGACAAAAAGCGGTCGCCGGACATGATCACCGCCTTGATGAGTCAGGGCTCATGAGCCACACACAAACCAAGAATTACGACATCCTGGAAGTGGTGATTCCAATCATCTCTTTATTTGTTAAAATTTGCATGCTCCTCCGACACCCCGGCTCAATCGGCAGCAAGGGGTTTTGTTTGTGTCCAAGCTTTTTCAAACTTGGTGATTGCCCAAGTTCCTTAAAATGGAAAAGCAGTTTCTGCAGAAACAGCATGGAGGCTGAGAAGCACATTTGGCACCAACCACTGCTTGATATTCTTCTTGCAACATGTGGGTGCGTGAATCTCAGAGGCTGATGTATCTTGCAATGGCCCTGAGCCTGTGTGCTAAGTTCGGGTTCAGCCTTAAAGTCTTGCAGAGGTTGCAGGGATTTGTGCAAGACGTGTGCCAACAGCCGCTCTGCAGTCACGCTTCGTTTTGTTTTGCGTCATGCAATGCTTCATGCTTCTCCTGACAGGCACTGGCGGTCAGGCGGCAACTTCAAGCATCGCTTTCGAAGCTGAGACTGGCCGTGGATGGCAAAGATGTTGAAGCACTGGATGCAGCTATCAAAGATTGCCAACTTGCTGGCCTGCCATCGCATGACTTAGAATCTGCATGCAGATTGAAACAGAAGATGGATGGATTTCTGGCCGAATTGCAGATGAGCGCCTTGCTTCAATTCAACTTTGCTTGATGTCGAACACGCTGTAGCAATGTATGCTAGCTGCGCGTTGCACTGCGCATGTCAGCATGATTGGATCTGGTCCGAGGTTTTGCTAGCCGAAAGGGGCCTGTGATCCAGTGTGCAGTTAAAAGATGTGAAGACTTCGGGCTACGCGCGCCTGAAGTTCAAGAGGCCAAGCTCTTTCAACAACGTATTGATGATTTGCTTGCAAAGCTACGCGTCGCTGTTTCATGCAAGGACCTGGCATTAATCAAGGAGACACTAGGCGAAAGCAAAACGGCTGGCATACCGGAGGAGGACTTGGCTGATGCGGAGGCTTTGAGGGTTCAGCTGGAGGACTTGCTCGCTGCGCTTGTCACAGCCCTTCGTGGAAAAGACACCGCGCAGATTCAAGCAGCAATTCAAAAATGCGATGAATTCGGAGTGCCCGAGTCAGCGCTGGCAGATGCTAGGAGCGCACAGGAAGAGCTTGAATCTCTTTCCCAGCATTTGCAGCAAGGTTTGTCAACACGAAATATACACGTGCTCAGGCATGCCATCAAGGCATGCCAAGATGCAGGATTCCCGGATGCATCACTAAAGGAGGCCATGAGCCTTCAAGATAGCATCGGCCAGATACTGGCTAGAATGAGTGAGGCAATGCGCAACAAGGATGTGCATGCCTTGAACGAGGCAATCCGTCAGTATAATCACGCAAGCCTTCCACCAACTTCCGAGCTGGATGAGGCGGTGGCAACGAAGCGGAAGCTAGAGCAGATACTGGCCCGGCTTGGCGTTGCAATACAGCTTTTGGACATCCGCGTCCTGAAGGCTGCCATCCTGGAATGCCAGGCTGCAGGCCTTCCAGAGCAAGATTTGGATGAGGCCCTGCTGGCAAAAGATAGCATTGAGCGCATGCCACCTGGCCCAAAGTCTCACTCACCAACTTACACTTCGTTTTACAAAAAAGCTAGGCATGTGGGGATGTCCAGTCTTATTATTTTTGTGTCAGTCCCTTGTTGGCAAGAGTTGGGGGGAAGCGAATTTTCGGAAGTAGACTCTTGACGTGTTTTGCTGGGTTCTTCAAGTTTCACAGTCGGTTTTCTTACCCTTCAAGCTCTCGACTGAAACCGGCACACTTTCTGGCAAAGAGCTCCGGCGCCTAACCCCTCAAAAGTTGGTTTTACCTTGTCTTGGAGGGGAGAGGGTGTGTGCAGGCTTGAATCCTTCAGGTGAACCTGGCTGCAAAGAAACCGTTTTGGAGCTGCCTCTTGAAGCCCTCCACTTTCAATTGCCTCCGCGGGTGCCTTTTTCTTGCTGCCTCACGGCAGTTCCGGGGCGGGCCTAGGTAGACGGCCCATTGGAGCCACAATCAAAGCCTGGCGCGAGTAAAATGATTGATTGGCCCAGCTATTCGAAATAGGGGGAAGTGCAGCTGAATTCCAGCGCTAAGTCCCGTGTTGATTTTGGGGACGCGCGGTAAACGTGTCAGTCGCAAGTTCAGGCGCAGCGAATTGGAGCACAGAATGCTGATTTCTTTGCAGGTGCAGTACTTTGCAGGGGCCGATGACGGCAACGGTGTTGATTATGATCGTGGAAACGACGACAGTAGAAATGCCCGGGGCGGGCATAGCCTCGCTGAACGTGAAGAGACAAAGAAAGAAAGAGGAGACCAAGAGGCACCCGACAAGCGTTTGACATTGCAGATCACATCTCAACCGGACGTGGCAAAATCGTAAAGTCAAGTGTGTCAAAAGGTGCAGAAGGGCTCAGGGAGAGCAATGCGACCAAAAAGAAGAAGGGAGGAATCAAAGGCGACGTTCCCACCGCCGGGCATCAGTGACGACTAGGTGGAGCAATTTTTCCGAGAAAGCAACAATCCTGCAGGCTGCAAAGCAGGGCGGACCCAGATGGAAGAAGGTGGTAGGACCGGTAGGAAGAGCAATAAATTGCATGTTGATAGGTCCAAAGAACGATCAGGACCAGTACCGCGCAGTACCCCCGGACGATGCCAATCTCTTGACGCGCTGTGTCCGAAGAAGAGCCGGGTGATGGAATCGTCTACTGAGACGAACTGCGTGGAGTTTTTGTGAGGACTCAAGTAGGGGGGGAGAAACACGTTGCCATGGTGAACGGGAGTCGGGTCGTCGAAGGTCAAGAAAAGTGGGATGACGGCGTGTCCAAGATACCGTGCATGCTGTGTAGCGACACCACACACACACACATATGGAGAGGGAACCAAGTTGCAACGCTGTGTTTCAACACTCGGGCAGTTCTCCGGCGAGGCATCAAGCAGCCCAAACCAACCCTAAACTAATCCAACCCAACCCGGAGCTAACCCCAAACAAACCAACCCTAAATCAGCTCAGAGGCCAGAGGATAGAGTTGAGTGTAGCGACATTGCCCGAGGCCTCTAAACTCTAGGCCCTGCCTGGCCATGTCATCCAAGCGCTGAGGCTGGCAACGTTGCGCTTCTCTGTCGACTGCCAGAACATGAGCGGCGTGCAAGCGGCAATCCAGGCTCGGCTCAGCCTGCCACATGTCGCAGTCGATTTGTTTTGTTTTCTCCAGGACTGTCCCATCGACCTTTTGCGGGCCGCCATTGAGGAATGCCGAGCTGCAAATATTCCTCAAGCAGTGGTTGATGAAGCTCTGCAGTCCAGAGCAGCAGGCTTGAAGGAGGCTGATCGGAGGATACTCTTCGAAATTGGCCAAGATGAAGAAAAGCGAGCGTCCTACAACAGTGCTGTCCGCATGCTGCACGAGTCCATACAGACTGGCAACGATGTTCCTGCTGAATTTGAGGAATTGATCAATGAGCTTATTGTCAACCATGTTTTATAGTTGTTTCACCCTGTGTTTCACCACCCCTACCAGCAACACGCGCCGGGAAGGATTGAAAGGAGTGCGGCGTTGCCAAATCGATGGTCAGTGACAGTCTGCGCATTCTTTAGCTTTCAGGGGCATTAAGTGCAAAGATGGTGGACTTTGGCAATTCGTCGCACGGAATGCGTCATTGAGCTTGCGCCTTGAGCTTGCTGTTGTTAACTTTGAGTTGTTTAGTCATTGGCAATTTGCGTGATGATGATGGAGCCCTCAGCCGTCGTACATTTACCATAGAATGTCACACACTTGGAGCAGGAGCTGGCAATTGTGGATGTAATTGTTAGCATTGGTCAGCCATTTCCCCTTATACCTTAGCTGTATTCGAGAGGTCGTTAACGGCATTTTCCAGAAAACCTGGGCAAGTGGCGCGCGAGGGAAACGCGCGGGCGAGCGAGCGGGTGAACGTACGAGTGTGCGAGCGCACGCGCGAGTAGACGGACGAGTGGACGGACGAGTGCGCGGTTGGACCGACGGACGGACGGACGCACGTACGGACGCGCGCGCGCACGCACGCATGCACGCACGCACACGTCCGTACAGAAATAAGGGCAGAAATAAGACCATTTTATGGTCTTAAAAAAGGTCTTATTTCTGTACGGGCCCGCGCGTACAGAAACAAGACCCTTTCTGCCCTTATTTCTGTACAGAAGGGTGCGTGCGCGCGTGCGTGCGTGTGCGCGTGCGTGCGTGCGTGCGTGCGCGCGCGTGCGTCCGTCCGTCCGTCCGTCCGTCCGTCTGTCCGTCCGTCCGTCCGTCCGCCCACTCGTCCGTCCGCCCGCCCACTCGTCCGTCTACCCGTCCGCTCCTCCGTCCACGCGCTCGTTGCTTCAAAAACACCCCGTACGCCCCACCTCGCGCGTTTTTGAGAATTATACGTTTACGAGTTCTTAAATTTAGCTAACTTATACCTGCTCTTCCTCCACTCATGCGTGTCTATTCCTTGATGTACATCTATGCGCGCACGGAGTCATACAGGAAGAGGGTGAACGCATAGATCACGGGAGGTCACGAGCAAGCACGTATTTGAAATGGAATGAATGAAATGGAATGAATGAAATGGAGTGAATGAAATGGAATGAATGAATGAATGAATGAATGAATGAATGAATGAATGAATGAATGAATGAATGAATGACTGAGTGAGTGACTGAGTGAGTGAGTGAGTGAATGAATGAATGAATGAATGAATGAATGAACGAACGAACGAATGAACGAACAAACGAACGAATGCATGCATGCATGAATGCATGAGGAACTAACTGACTGACCGACTGACCGACTGACTGAATGCCTGAAGAACAAACAAACAAACGAACAAACGAACGAATGAACGAATGAACAAATGAGCGAATGAGCCAATGAGCGAATGAACGAATGAACGAATGAATGAATGAATGAATGAATGAAATGAAATGAAATGAAATGAAATGAATGAATGAATGAATGAATGAATGAATGAATGAATGAAATGAAATGAAATGAAATGAAATGAAATGAAATGAAATGAAATGAATGAATGAATGAATGAATGAATGAATGAATGAATGAATGAATGAATGAATGAATGAATGAATGAATGAATGAATGAATGAATGAATGAATGAATGAATGAATGAATGAAATGAAATGAAATGAAATGAAATGAGATGAATGAATGAAATGAATGAATGAAATGAATGAATGAATGGAATGAATGAATGAAGGAAGGAAGGAATGAATGAATGAATTAAATGAAATGAAATGAAATGAAATGAAATGGAATGAAATGGAATGGAATGACATGAATGAATGAATGAATGAATGAATGAATGACATGGAATGAATGAATGAATGAATGAATGAATGACATGGAATGAATGAATGAAATGAATGAATGAAATGAATGAATGAAATGAATGAATGAAATGACATGAAGGAAGGAAGGAAGGAAGGAAGGAAGGAAGGAAGGAAGGAAGGAAGGAAGGAATGACATGAAATGAAATGGAATGGAATGAAATGAAACGAAATGACATGAAATGAAATGAAATGAATGAATGATTGACATGAATGAATGAATGAATGAATGAATGAATGAATGAATGAATGAATGAATGAATGAATGAATGAATTCATGAATGAATGAATGAATGAATGAATGAATGAATGAATGAATGAATGAAATGGAATGAATGAATGAATGAATGAATGAATGAATGAATGAATGAATGAATGAATGAATGAATTGATAAATGGATGAATGAATGGATGAGCGAACGAACGAACAAACGAATGAATGAAATGAAAACAAAAGATAAACAAGACAGAAATACACAAAAAAGGAAATACATACAAACAATGCAAAGACACACTGAGAGACAGGATCACAGAAATAGGGACAGATATGCAGTTAGAGGAAATAACACCAGAAAGGAACGAAGAAAGAAAGACTGGAACAAAAAAAATAAAAGCACAACGGAACTTGCGCGTTCGTTGACGCCGACTACGGTGACAAGAACTTAGGTGCATGTGACTGGGCTGTGCTGGAGGGTTTTGTCGGCCCTGCTCGTGACTTCCTGGAGCAGGAATGGTACTCTGCCTCCGCGCGTGCCAACACCCAGGCTCGAGCGTTTTCATCAGCCACTGAGTGCCAAAACTATTGCGCCCAGCTGCAGAACTGCAGCTTCTTCACCTGGTCTCGAAAGATGACTCTTCGGAGTGCGGAGTCCACAAATGCACTGCAACCTTTTTCTTGCCCATTCGGCCTGACACCATGTAAGAGGAATGCTCGCGTATGAGTGACTCCGCATACTCAACCATGATATAGGTGATATAGGGCGTTGTAGGAGCATCTTGCCAACATACAGGTGTATCTTGTCAGCGGCTCAAGGCAGCTGACGGACAGCTGTAGCAAGCAGCCCTCAGAATTGAAACTGTGAACGCGAATGTCTGACACAGCATCTTGGCTGCATGGTCTTGCAGCGTGTTGGAACCTAGCCGTTCCACTTTCAAACGTAGCCGTGCTACCCTCAAAGCTTTTTGCCCACACGTTGCCGATATGGTCCACTCGAAGGATGAGACGTAAACCAACGTGCAAAGTTAAGAGAAACAGGCAATGAGTGTGCTTCAACTTTGCTGCCGTGTCGATGCTGACGTGGAATCCACAGAGCTGCGTGGAATGGCTGCAAAGCATGAGCGCCCAGCGCGGAGAGCCAGGTTCGCAGGGCTGGCTCACACGAAGAATGCACGCTTAGAACTTTCGAATCCTCCAGGAAAAGGATCAACGGATCAAGAGCCGGGACCTCAAGACTGGCATTTGCCAGTCCATGGGCTGCACTTTAATTGGATCAGGCAGGCCAGACGCAATGCGCAGAAAATTCTGGCTCAAAAACACTGGAGCAATGGCGGAGACAGCCACGCACCTCGGTCAAAACTGGATGAGTGTTTGGGCCTTCAAAGCTCTTGCGCCCTCAGGCTGAGACAAAGACAGAAGCCCAACAAGGAGAAGGAAGAGCCAACCGAGAAGGAGCCGGCCGAGAAGGGTGAGGGAAAGGCCAACAAAAAGGCCAAAGACGAGGACTGGGTCTGCCGCATGTGTGTCCATTTGCTTGCCCTTTCTTGTTTGGAGGATGGGCCTAGGCCCGAGGTAGGCGCAGCAGACACTGCTGCAAAGAAGCAGACAGTCGGGGAAACCTTCATGAAATCCTTGACGAACACGACCACATTGCTTTCTGGCTGCACAGGCAGAGCGCTTCCTCCCCTGGCCTTTTCAAATTTTTCCTTGAGGCACTTTCAGTTCTTGCTGCCTGAGCTTGCCGAGGATCATGATGGCAGCTATGGGCATGAGCCTTTGGAACAACCGTGCCTCAGACCACATGCTGACGTGGACGGGAGAACGCTTTTGCGGGGGTTTATGTTGGCCTCTGAGAGGTTAAATTTGTTTACCGTTGCTCGAGTTCTGGAAGCGTGCCCTGAGGTAATGACAAGGACCAAAGCCCGGGCCCCACAATCCGGCAGGGGCCAGGACTTGTGTCAAAGAGGATTTTTCTTCTTTGTTGGTGGCTTTGGCGGCTTGCTCATTTGCTGTCGACAGTTCAAGAGGCCAGTCTCGCACTGGGAATTGGCGGCCCTCGTAGTGTGTTGAAATCAAGGCAAAATTTTGTGCCCGCCCGGCAAGCTTGCGATCGGACAAGGGTCTCGGCCCCCCTGCCAACTCGGGCGCCGCTCAGCCGTCTTGGAAGGCTGGGGTTTGTATGTGGTGCCGGTGGTGCTGGTGGCCAGCCTGCTGCTGGGTTCGGTGCTGGTCACTAAGCTGGAAAACTCCGAGTGGCGAATGAAGCTACGCGCAGAGGCGGACCGGCAAAAGTGTACAGCGAGTCCACGCGTGCCATTGCACGTGACACAGGCGGCAGCCAAGGAGCGCGAGGAGATGGCCAAAAAAGGCTTGCGGAGTGTCTTTGTTTTGGAGTTCCGGTTTTGAGAATTGTTGAGAGGGGGTGGTGGTGGTGCTGGTGTGTGTCGGGGGGGGGGGGGGCGGCCAAATGTGGCGCGCACGCGTGCGTGTGTGTGTATAAGAAACAAGATCTCTTTCCTGGCATCCAATACCACTTAATGAAAGAGATCAATTTAGTGAATCAAGCACAAACGCATCCTCTTAGTCTGGTCTTTCCGATTTCTCCTCGACTAAATGTCCTTTATTAAGAAGGCTCAAGGTTCCCTATCAGCGTCCCTTTTTAACTGTCATGTTCTGTCTTGTTTCGATGCACGAAGTGTACATCTCCATGTTCGAAGCGTGTTCCCTTTATTTGGTTCCTCCTTTCCGTTGCTTCTGATAGTTCACGCTTCCTAATTTACTAGATACATCAGTGGCGTAGCATCACGCTTTGTAATAAAATCAATCTAGTCGAAAGTAATAGTTGTTTTTTGAAGAAGGACATGGACAGCAGTCGCGAAATAGGAACGTCATGGAACGAAACATATTTTGGAACAAATGAACAAATAATGGAAACACAATTGCAAAGGTAATAACAAGAAATAGCAATGGAAACAAGACATGAAAAGGAATTGAAAAGAAACGGAAAGGACGTGAAACAAGAAAGGAGTGAACATTGACAGGAGCGAAACGGACATGTAAGGAACGGAAAGGGCATGGAGATAAAATTCAGAGAAATGGAAAGGAGACTTGCTGCTACTGAATTATTGACACGGGACATTGCGAAACGAGCACCATTTTCGGCCCGGCCTGGCCTTGGCTAGGACAAGACAGGCAGAGAAAAACAACAGAAATGGACATGACAGGAAATGGAAAAGAAAATATACACAAAGGAACAGAACAGAAATTTAATCAAACTTAGAATGGAAAGGAATGAAAGGGATCCGGAAAGGAACGGAAAGGACGTGGGAATTTAAAAGAAATGAAAGGACACCTGCCGCTTCAACATTATTGACATGGACAGTTGCGAAACGGGCACTTTTTCGGCCCGGGCTGGCCCTGGGCACTTCTAGCTAAGAATGAAGGGGAATGGAAAAGAGTGCAAAGGAATAAAGGCAAAGAAATAAAGGAACAGCAAGACAATGCAAAGAACATGGAAACACAATGGAAAAAGGGCATGAAAACGATATGGAAACAAACATATAAAAAGAAGGGGATGGAAAGGAGATTCAGGGGAAATGAATAGACAAGAAACGGATATGGAATGGAAAGGACATGAACACAAAGTGGAAAGGGCAGATGCGAAGAAAAGTGGAAAGGAATGAAAAGAGTCAGGGCTGAACGCTGCACATATAGCAATCAATGCGTAAAGACTTTGAGAGCGCCGGGTGTAATTTTCCCTCCTTCCAATTCCTCCACGTTTTTTTCTTTCCAAGTCCCTTCCATTGCTTTACGTTCCTTTTAACCTCCTTTCCATTTCCGTTATTTTTTGCTAGTTTTTCCATTACTTCTTCAGCTTTTCTGCCTGGATGCGCCCCAGGCCAGCCAGGGCCGAAAGCATAGTTATTTTGCGATTTTGCGCCGGAAATTCCAATTCCCTTTCCATTTCTAGCTAGAAGTCCCCAAGACAAGCCGAGAAAAGTGCTCGTTTCGCAATTTCCCGTGCTTTACGGCGAGTGTCCTTTCCGTTTCCTTGAAATTGTCTTTCCTTCTTTCTGATTTCCATACCATTTCAATTGCGTTCCACTCCTTGTGATTTCAGTTTGATTGAAATTTTGTTTACATGTCCTTTCCATTTCTTTCCACTCCTTTCCACTCCTTTCCATTTCTAGCTAGAAGTGCCCAAGACCAGCCCGGGCCAAATGGCAAGGTCTAGCCCATGTCCTATTATCATCCTATCCTAACTCATTCCTATCCCTCTCCTGTCAACCGCCGTGATTACTAAGGGAAAGAGCGGTTGGGGATTCAATAGCTGCAAACATGATAATGTTTTCCTTCACCCCCCTCCTCGCAATCAAGAGGAGGCCCCTTCGTTAGTATGAAATGCTCGTTTCGCAATCTCCCTGAAAAGAGTTTTGAAGAGGCAAGTTTCATTTCCCTCCTTGTCATTCCTTTCCTTTTCCATTTCAACTCCATTTCTTTCATGTCCATTCCTAGCTAGAAGTGCCCAAGGCCAGCCCGGGCCAAACACATGCTCGTTTCGCAATTTCCCGTGTCAATAATTTGGACGCGGCAAGTTTCATGTCCATTTCCGAGAAATGTATGCCCATGTCTCTCCTCTTTTCTTTGTCGTTCCTCTCTAATCCTCTTCATTCCAAGCCAGAAGTGATCAAGGCCAACCAAGCTGGAACAGTTCTCATTTCACAATTGCCCTGAACTGAGTCTTGAAGCGGTGAGTTTCCATGTTTCTTTCAGTTAAGGAAATGGAAAGGACATGGACAGGAAATGCAAAGGACACCGAAAGGAAATGGAGAGGACATGGAAAGGAAATTAAAAGGAAATTTGAAGGAAATGGAAAGAAAGGACATGGACCGGAAATGGAAAGGAAGTGGCAAGAAATGAACAGGACATGGAAAGGACGTTGGAAGGAAATGGAAAGGACATGGAAAGGATATTGAAAGGGCATGGACATTGAAAGGAAATTGAAAGGACATGGAAAGGAAACTGAAAAGACATGGGAAGGACATGGACAGGAGATGGAAAGGACATCGAAAGGGAAAGGAAACTGGAAGGAAATGGAAGGGAATGGAAGGGGAATGGAAAGGAACTGGCAAGAAAATGGAAAGAAAGGACGGAACGGAAATGGAATTGACGTGGCAAGAAATGAACAAAAAATGGAAAGGACATCGAAAGGGAATGAAAAGGAAATTGAAAGGACGATGGAAAAGAACTGGAAAGGCAATGGACAGGAAAGGGAAAGTTTGTGCTTGGCAGTTCGGGGCTCGCTGCTGATACAGTTTGCCAAAGGAAGTTTAGTTAGAAAACCTCCGTAATACGAAAAGTAGAGTTAGACATGCGCAAGTAGAGTTAGATACGCGCAACACGCGAAGGGTACCCCTGTTCAGCGTGCGGGATCGCCACGGGGTCGGAATGTTGCCCACTGTAGTGCTCGCGCAGAGGTTTTCGGAGGTTCATTTTGCGTGGCAGGCGCAGCGCTTTGGCAACCTAAGGTGCAGATTTCGTGGCAGGCGCAGCATTTTGTGCCCGTGCAAGGTCGAGTGCAGATTTCGTGGCAGGCGCAGCACGTTCGCAAGGTCAAGTGCAGATTTCGTGGCAGGCGCGGCACTTTCGCAAGGTCAGGTAATAGATAGATAGATGGATATATAGATCAAATGGGAAGAGAGAGAGAGAGAGAGCGAGAGAGAGAGAGAGAGAAAAAGACAGAGACGAAGGCGTAAATCGCGTTGCAGGTGCAGCACTTCCGCAAGGTCGAGCACAGATTTCGTGGCAGGCGCAGCACTTTCGCAAGGTCAGTTGCAGATAGATAGATAGAAAGTAAGAAAGAAAGAAAGAAAGAAATAAAGAGAAAGATGAAGGCAGAAAAAGAAAGAAAGCGCGAAAGAAAGAAAGCACGAAAGAAAGAAAGAGAGAACGAAAGAAGGAAAGTAAGAAAAAAATAAAAAAATAAGAAAGAAAGAAAGAAAAGCACGAAAGACTGAAAGAGAGCACGAAGGAAAGAAAGAAAGAAAGAAACAAAGAGATAGAGAGACAAAGCGAAAGAGAAAGATAAAATGCGGATAGATAGAAAGAAAGTAAGAAAGAAAGCACGAAAGACAGAAAGAGAGAACGAAAGAAGGAAAGAAGGCAAGAAAGAAATAAAGAAAGAAACAAAGAGATAGAGAGACAAAGAGAAAGAGAAAGATCAAATGCGGATAGATAGATAGAACGAAAGTAAGAAAGAAAGCGCGAAAGACAGAAAGAGAGAACGAAAGAAGGAAAGAAGGAAAGAAAGAAATAACTAAAGAAACAAAGAGATAGAGAGACAAAGAGAAAGAGAAAGAGCAAGTGCAGACAGATAGACTGATAGAAAGTAAGAAAGAAAGCACGAAAGACAGAAAGAGAGAACGAAAGAAGGAAAGACAGAAAGAAAGAAAGAACCAAAGAAAGAAACAAAGAGATAGAGAGACAAAGAGAAAGAAAAAGAGAAGGATAAAGTGCAGATAGATAGATAGATAGAAAGAAAGAAAAAGAAAGAGATAAAGAAAGAAAGAAATAAAGAAAGAAAGACAAAAGAAAGACAGAAAGAAAGAAAGAAAAAAGAAAGAAAGAAAAAATAAAAAAGAAAGAAATAAAGAAAGAGAGAAAGAAAGAAAGAACGAAAGAAGGCGTAGATAGATAGATAGCCAGCGCCAGCCAGTGTGCCAACACGTCTTGAGCGACATAGCAAAAAGGCGCTGTTTTAGTTCCCCCCTGTCAGTTTGGGGTTGTAGCCGGAGCCACTCGAATGAAAGGTAGGGCTCTAATCTTTTGCGCACAGTGTGTTGAGGCCAAAGATGCGCTCTTGCGGTAGGGCAGTCCCTGCTTTAAACCCCCCCGGTTTTGACTCCTTCTGTTAGTTTGGGATTGTCTTCTGCGCACAGCGTGTGGAGGCCAAAGTTACACTCTTCGGGAAGAGGAGAAAGAAAAGGAAAGAAAGAACAAGAAAGAGACAAAGAAAGAGCGCAACCAAACAAAAACAAGCCAAGCTCTTCCTTTCGGCACTCTCCACCGGCTTCGCCGGCTCATTGCGGATCCTGCCTGGGATAAAATGATTGTGAAAATGATGATGATCATGATGAAAAATGTTGAACATGATGATGAAGATCATGATGAACAGATTTTTTGTAGAACAACTGGTTGAAGAACCTGACAATGGTTTCTATTTTTCTTTTTTTCGGAATGGTGGGACCTATTTTTTCTTTTCCTTCTTGTTGTTCATTTGTTAGAACAATATCTGGAAAATCAATCAACTTTGTCTAATTTGTTTTTTCTAACAAGTAGTTGCGCAATCAGTCATTGTTTCTATTTTTCTAATTTCCTCAGTGGAAAAATTTGCTGGAAATCAGTCATGGTTTCTATTTTTCTGTTTTTTAAGTTAAACAGAAAAAGCCGAACAATCTTGCATTTTCATATTCTCTAATTTTTCTGTTTATTTGGATGCTAGGTTTCCGGAATGTTGGGACCTATTTTCATATTTCTATCACTTGTTCTAATTATTTAAAAGCAGAACACACTACAGATTGTTCAGCTATTTTTCATTAAAGTTAAGCTTTTCTAATTTTCGAATTGATTAGAACAAAATGAAAAATTAGAAAGCTGATTGATTTTCCAGCTAGTTTTTCTAACTAGTTGGAAAAAGAACACATAAAAATAGGTTCCAACATTCCGGAAGCCTAGCCGCCAAATAAATAGAACATATAAAAACATGATTGCGTTTCCATCTGACATCTATTTGTTCTAATTAATTAGAAAAATAGAGATTGACCGATTTGTTCAGCTACTTTGCTTATTAATTAGAAAAATTAGAGAAATTAGAAGCATGGTTTCCCAGTTAGTTTTTCTACTTAATTAAAAAGAATACAAAAATTAGAAAACAGAAAACATGACTGGTTACTCAGCTGTTTTTTCTATTCGGATGGACAACTTGGAAAACTGAAAAGAACATCATGAACATGATTGTGAAAATGATGGTGAACATGATGAGGATGATGATGAGGATGATGATCATGATGCTGATGATGACGCTGAATATGATGATGAAATGATGATGATGGTGATGATGCTGATGCTGATGATGATGATGATTTGATGACGAACATGATGATGATGATGATGATGGTGGCGATGATGATGATGAGGATGATAAAAGGGGCCAGCCTGAACAGACCCTCGTAAGCTTTCCGTAGTTGTCGTATCCCTTTCATGTCCTTTCATTTCAGCTACAAGTCATTTGTTCAACGTTTCTAATTTTCTACTAAATTAAAAGAATAGGAAAATAGAAAAACAGAGGTCCCAACATTCCGGACAACACGCCTTGGAAGACCCAACCTGGTTGTCTCAAAGGAGAATTAGGTTAATTACTAGAACAGTTAGGCGTAGAAAGGAAATTGAAAAGAAAAAGCCAGGAGGAACAGGAATGAAGCCCCAACAAGCTTTTTTTGCGCGCAAAGTGTTGCGACACATTTGGTATATGGCAGGGCTGACGCAGCACGACTTGAATGAAGCAGCCATGAACATGGGCAGCTTGGGTTGCACAGAAGCACCCTTCCAGAAAAGCAGTCGCGCCTTGCTTCGCTCAGGAATGCAGCCTACAAACATTGGCCAAGGCTGAATTTTCCAGCCGGCTCACCTATTGAACTCTTAACACCTGCCGCCTTGCAACAGCCAAGCTGCTGCAACTGGTTGGCCGCCTATGTGTACTGCCGATGCGAGTCGGCCGGCAGACGGACAGATCTAATTTGCAGCCGGCCTTGCCCATGACCTTTGTCGGTGGAGCCGCAGGGTGAAGGGGAGGAACGCCTGGCGCAAGCAGAGCCAACAAACATGGAGCGTGTGCTACGAGCCTTACGGGCCTTCATGCAGAACTCCGAAGGCTTGCAGTTACGTTTGACTTCCTTGTGAGCTCAAGCGCTTGTGCAGCCACAGCCATTCCAGCCAGGGCAGGCTGCTCAGGGAGTTTGCCAGGGATTGGCAGAAGAACGTAGGGGGTCAGCGTTATAAGCGTGTCAGCTCATGCCCCGCGCAGCTCCTGTAGACTCGCAGTGGTCGCTTTGCAGGTGTCAATCAATGCAGGAGGCGTGGGTTTCTTCTTGGGTTGTGTCAAAGGCATGTGCAGTGTTCACACCAGTTCACGGGACGTCCTTTGAAATGTTTTGCCGCCCGCTTCGATTGTGTCACGTGCGACTCACGTGATGGGGTCTGCAGTCAGTCAAATCCCATCATGAGAGTCACCGTCATTGCAAGGAGTCATTGCAAGGAGTCATTGCAAGGAATCATCATCCTGAAAGTCATTGCAAGGAGTCATTGCAAGGAGTCATTGCAAGGAGTCATTGCAAGGAATCATCATCATGAAAGTCATTGCAAGGAGTCATTGCAAGGAGTCATTGCAAGGAGTCATTGCAAGGAGTCATTGCAAGGAGTCATGAGAGTCATTGCAAGTTGCAAGAGACCAACATCTGTCAGGGAGCAGCAGCTACAGTAGTAAGGCCAAACCGCTACAACGCAAACGGATGTGAAACACTGCGACTCCTACACAGCAGGTTCAGCCTACCAGTAGGAACAAGAAGCGTTGGCTACCTTACCAAACTACTGGAACCTACATTCAACGAAGCGCAGTTTGAAGAACAATTCCTACAATGGGAATACGACATCGACCGCTACGAGAAAGACAGCGGCATAGCACTACCAGATGGAATCAAAATAGCAATACCACTCAACAAAACCAAAGGAGCACTGCAGCAACATCTCCAACTGCGAGCTGGACAGATCACGAACTACATCGAGATCAGAGCAGTCATCGTCATCTTGGACCACTACAAGACGATTTCAGCCTTCTCGAGATCGACTTCAGCAGTAGGAACAAACTACAATGGAGGAGCTGCACCAATGGATGTTGACAACATATGGAGGAAAGGAAGAAACTACAAAGGCAAAGGAAAAGGAAAAGGCAACTACAAGGGAAGCAAAAGCAAAGGACAGGAGTAAAGGACACTACAAAGGATTCGACAAAGGCAACAAAGGAAACTACAACAAAGGAGGATACAACAAGAGCAAAGGAAAATGCTTTTCAGGATCCAAAGGATATGGATCAAGCAAAGGCTACAAGGGCCAAGGAAACTACAGCAAAGCAAAACGAAAAGGAAGCAACAACTACATGACATGCCCCCAATGTGGCAAGCCTGGCCACGGGGCACAGGACTGCGGAGTGCCGGTATGGCACATAGGGGAAGAACTACATCCGCTAGAACAAGAACAAGCAGATCAGGACAACAATGAAGAACTACCTCAGGATGTGAACGACACCTGGGACTTGTACTACGAAGGAGAAGAAGGACAACACGAGGTAAACTACATGGAGGAGAACTGGACGGACTACGACTATGACAACAGCTGGCATTGGAATGACAACAGCTATGAGGACACAGCAAACTACATTGGAGGCATCAACGAGTCACACCTCACCACTGGACACATCAGACAAGCAAAGTCACGACTACACAAGCACAAATCCAAATCACTACTTGGCAAGAGAACAACACACACAACATCATGGAACGACCACAGCAAGAGCTTTCAACAATTCCTACAAGAAGACACCACACAGCTACACTTCGACATAGCAGCAGCAACACAACAGCAAAGGAACAAGAAGATTGAGGACACCATCACACACTACATCATGTACTCCAACTTCAAGTCATACCACCACCTGTTGATCGACTCAGGAGCATCTACACATGTTTGTCCGAAGGACTACGCGCCAGACCTACCGCTACGACCTTGTGGAGAATCAGTTCCACAACTCTACACGGTTACCGACAAGAAGATTCCTGTCTACGGCATCAAGTATGTTCCCTACAAGCAGGACAACTTCAGGATCATGATGCCCTACTACGTTTGTGATGTGAAGTATCCAATCCTCAGTGCATCAAGACTACTTGATAGAGGATATGGACTCGACTTCACTCCACGACGCTGCACCATCACACATGGACAACAACAAGCACACCTTATAAGACACTCAGGACTTTTCTACCTACGAGCAGAGAAGATCGACATCCCTACAGGATTCGACATCTACCCAATGACCACAGACAATGGAAAATCCATTGCTGTGATTCAACCTACAGAAAGCAACACAACAACAAGAACAAATTGCACCACTCACCCACACAGACCAAGGACTGCGACAGATCCTTGGTGGAAACACTGACTACTGGAAGCTTGATGGTGACTACGCCATCAGAGTACACACCGACCACGCAAAGCATTGTTCACACCACACAACAGTGGTTGCCCAATACCAGAAGGAGAACTAGATGATTGGCGACTAACATCATCAACCGACAAGGGCAAGAGCAAGAACAACCACAAGAGAACCCAACACAACTTTCCAAGCAAGAACTACAACGAAAACTAGAAAGTGACAACTGGACTGGAGAAACCAGACTCAGAAGAAAGGTAATACCTACACGCAGAGCAACATCAAAGACCACACCAACAAGGCAGAGCTCACAACCACAACGGCTAATGGACACACCACCAACCAGATCAAAGATCCAACTACGAGCACCACAAAAGATATGGAGACCTAAAGCAGCACCTTCTACAAATCCTGACGCCGCACAACCAAAGGAGACAATCCGCAGACCACTCACAGCACAGGAGGACAACCAAGACTACTGGGAAAGACAAGGTGAACACTGGATTCGACACCGCGCAACACTTAGAACAACTCTCTTCACTCCAACAGATGGACCAGGACATCCACCAATCAGCACACTTGAGCCTCACAGAACTACAATCACTCACAACAACTTTGGACAAGTTTCACAACGCAAAGATGACTGGACAGTCATGGGCAACGCAGCACTACCATTTCAATGGAAAGGAACAACAAGGTTCACCGTGAAGAAAGACTCGAGTACATCCAGGAGAACCACGATGAGGAACAACAACACGAGCATCATGAAGCACACAGAGCAAGAGGACTACGACAACCGCAGCAGCCCACTCCACAACAAATAGCAGATCACAATCTTACACATCTACCATACAGAAACTGGTGTCCAATTTGCGTTCAAGGCAAAGGATGCCAAGACAACTACAAGAAACAACAATCACGACAACCCGTCATTCAAGTAGACTTCGCCTCACAACAAGACCCAAAGACCATACCAGTACTGACAGCAGTTGATGTGCTACACAACTGTGTATGGCAGTAATGGTCCCGGACAACCGTCAATGATGGACTACATGGTCAACAACCTACAAGCATTCATCTTTGAGCGCGGAAGAACACAAGGCATACTACTAAGCGACAAAGCGCAGGGTTGAAAGCAACTACAGCATGCAATGTCCACGAAGCACTGTCTACTACCTTGAATAGTACGACATGCAGCATGGACGGTAAATCGCTACGTCATCCACTCAGACGACAAGCTTTGTACTACGAGCAAGCAATCTGCGAATTTGGCGAGACACTACTTTACCTTCCACCACAACACAAGAAACTTCGAATAGCAGACCTACGGATGCAGAAATGCATCTGGCTCGGAAAAGTTTCCGAAACCGGAGATATGCCATGTTTAGAGCTTGGCAGGCATTGGGTGAACATGTATCATCAATTGTTATGGGTCTGCCATTTTGGATCAAGACTGAGCCAAATTGGCAGACACCTTTTTGGTTTCGGTTACATTGTTGACTGGAGTGGGACTCTGGTATGTCTGGCGCTGATGCAGGCCCTTTGGCGGCCCATTCTCAGGCGCGGATGTTGCACCCGGCGGCCCTCCTGGACTTCGAAGCCCACGTGCAAGGACTGCTGGCCCGTGGGGAACGGGACCAGGCCGTTCGACTGTGGAAGGAGGTTGTGCTGGTGGTACACCTTCCCCCAACCGAGGTCTCTGAATTTCGCATTCAAACCTTGGGGTCGTTGCGGGAGGTCCCCTGCATGGTGGCAGGGTGTGCCAGGTGCACTGAGATGCGTGGGGGGTTCCAGTTCCCGTGGCTCGGGATATGGACCAAACGCGCAGTCTTGGTTCAAGCAGAGGTTGACCCGGCGGCAGCTTGGGACCTTTACTATGCGGGCCGGGACTACTTGGATGAGGATCAGCTTCGGGCCCTTGACTCGGGCATGCGAGTGCAGCAGCTGGTCCCCGAGCACATGGCGCGCTTCATTGGCTACGTGGAGTTGGCCGGCCTTGAGGAGTGTGGCCTCGATCGGGAGGCCGTCTTCTGGGCGTGGAGGAGGTGGCAGGTGTCTCTTGGCGAGAGCCGGCGTATGAGCCGATCCCCTCCGGCGACTGGGAGAGTTGCGATGGGGCCACTGCGTGGGCCGCGGTGTGGGGCACGTCGTCCGGGAAAGGCCAATCTGCGAGGAATGCCTCAGCCATTTGGCCTCTCTGGGGGATCTTTAGCGCCATGGCAGCTGTACCGACCGGGATCTACGCTCGCTTGGCGGGGGACGCCGGGGGGCAGTGGGACCCGGAGTCGGCTTTGGGGGCGGTGGGCGCTCAGCACACTGCCAGGTGGAGGCGCGAGCACGGGCTTCAAAATGATGCGGACTTTGCGTTCGCCTTCCACTCGTTTGAGGATGCGCTGACCACTGGCGGCAGGGACCTGGCCAATTCGTGGGTGCTTGTGCGGAGCGCCCAGGTGTCCGAGCTGCTGCCGGCCGCGGCTGATGTGGTGGAGGGCGGGAGCCGAGGGACGGCTGTCCACCTTCCCTTTCGGCCTCTGGCCCCTCGGCCTTCGAGGGCTCCGGCGGTGCGCCTTCGTGCAGTTCAAGACGAACCGGAGGCGATCACGATGCAGGTCCAGCGGCTCAGCGAGGCACTGCAGGACATGGGTGCGATGAAGCCGACAGGAGTCCTGACGGAACAGTTGCGGCGCGAGTGGCGAGGATCATGCACTCGTTTGGCGCAGCGGCTGGTGACGGAGGCGGAGAGGGCCACGGTGCTGAATGCCTTGCGCACATGGGGTGAGGTGATCACCTTTATGCAGGCACGATCCCGATCGCTGCCACCAGAAGTGGTGGACCTTGATGTTTTCCTCCACGAAGGAACAGCTGCTCCGGCCCGTGCTACTCAATCGCTGCGCTGGTTGACCA